CTCTCGGGTGGTGCAGGGAGTTGTGACGCAGCCTATTGGGCTGTCCGCAGCCTCTGCAGCATGGGTTTGATCCCCAGCAAGCCAGGGAGCAGCCCACATGGCGCAGCAGACCTCTCCTGACTCTCCCACTGCTCCCCTCAGTAGTGTATTTCTGTTGATCTGCCTGTTCTGTTCCCCACTCTGTCTCTGGTGAGTCCTCTCACCCTCTGCACTTCTGGCCTGTACCCCAGTTCTTGTATGCATAAATAAATAAATCTTTTTAAAAAGTGACAGAAATAGGGGACAGTAAAATTTAAAGGTTGGTAGGCTACAGAGGAGGCTTTATTCTGGCTACCCTTGCCTTGTGTCCCTTTCTTTGAATAGAACATAGATACAAGGTTTCAGTTTTGTAGTTGTTAAGAACAGACAGAGAAATGAACCCCAAGGGTTAGGAAGTCTTGAGACAATAGAGAGAAACTGTGTGTTTCAGAGAAATTGAGGCATTGTAAATCTGCAATGGGCAGACTGCAAGATCACCAGTATAGTGGCAAATCCAATAGTCTGAGTGTTACCCACTTTGGCAGTGGGCAGGGAGATACAGATGATGGTGTTATCTTTTCATGTCAATGCCAGAATAAAAGAAAGAAAAAAGAATAAAGAGGGTTTCATGTTTAGTTGGTTTTCAGTGGATGTCAACTACTTCTCCCCTTATTAATTTGATTTGGAGGTGTCTAGCTTTCCATAGAATCAGTTAGCAAGTGGAAACTTTTTTAACTGTGAGAAGTTGTACCCAAGGTTTGAGTTTCTGAATTTTGGCTTTTGTCTGGTTAGTGAGGCAGGCCTGGTATTATCTCTTTCAAGGAGATTCAAGTCTCACCGTTCTCAGTGATTCCAATTCAGAAGGGTGGAAAAAAACTGGAAAACTAGTTTGGAAGATAACCAGGCTTGAGAAATTTATGGAATTAAAGTTCCAATCCAATTTATAACTATATAACAGAATCTCAGAGATAATCACCAAGAGTAGAATGTAATATCTAGAAAGACAAAAACATAATTTTTCTATTCATAGTCACTCCGTTTTTATCAATGATAATCACAGTAAAACTATTGATAACTTGCTGTATAAAATTTGCATAAGTAAAACCATTTTACTGTCAGAATCCAAAAGCATCAGAGTTAAACAATAACATCAGTACTTGGTAAAAATACTTAAAAATGGCCATAGTTAAAGATCTGACCAGCCTTCCTAATTCATTAAGATCATAGGTCACTGTGAGGCAATATCCAGTTATCTATTTAACTAAAGTGAAAATTACAGGCTTCCAGGCAAATACAGAAAGTTGTAAAAATTTTACCTTTTTAAATAGAAAAGACAGTTTTTCTAAGTAATCAGAGAAACTAATGAGAACATAATGGAACATAAGAAAATATTTTGATATTTTTTCCCCTTAAGTTACTTGTGACTTATAGCAATTTGGTGTTTATATTACCTCCAGATGTCATTTAGGAAGATGACTTAAAAGACAAGCGAAAACCTCTTAAAAGCAGACCAAAAGTCCAGGACTTTGTTGACAATTTCTAAGACAATATCTTCAAAAGATTAAAATTAAGGTGCAATTTTATATAAGTACACTATTGATACTAAAGTTTATTTTAAAAACACTTGACACAAATTTACTTATTCTTATTGAATCTGATCTCACACAAAATTCCAAAGATTTCTTTTCCACAGACCTTTTATAAGTTTCTTTTTTTTTTTAACAGGTTTTTAATTAAGTTTTCTTCCTCATTCTGAGTCAACCAGCTTTGCAGTAGGACAAATCTTTCATGCAACAAAATACACTTCAATACTTCCTGCTGTTGCTGAGACCTGAAACTATTAAGGGGAAAAAAAAAAAACATTTGGCCCATTCTAAAAAGGATCTGGCCACCCCACACATAAAGGCAAAGAAATTATTCTAGTGTGCTCAAAGATCTTTAATTGATCGAGGTTCAAATGGGAGGAGAGAGAGAGAAATAGAGAGAGAGAGAGAGGGAGAGGGAGAGAGGGAGGACAGACTCCCAGTCAAACTCTGCAATCGTCATGCACTAGTGGGCAAAAGACCAGCAAAATGAGCTGAACCCAGAGCTGAACTCAGAGAATGAGTTTAATGTACCTCCTGTCAGGGAAAAACAAGCAATAAGTTGGGAAGAACTCAAAAGACTGGGAGAGAAGAGAACCGGAATTCACAATGTACCATCCAAACTGGATAATCCACACAAGGTTAAGATGATGGCTGCCATTATCCTGCCCACCTGCCAAAGCAATAAAGCAACTAAGATTGGGCCTCCCCGGTGGAGTAGCGGTTGAGCGCTGGGTTGCGAAGCTGCCCGCATCCTCTACAGCACCGGTTCGATCCCCGGCTGCTCCCCGGCCACTGGAGGAGGGTCCCACATGGCGCGCAGACCTCTCCTGCCGCCCGCTGCTCCCCTCAGCAGTGTACTTCGGTCCTTCTGCCTGCTCTGCTCCCTGCTCTGGCTCTGGTGAATTCTCTCACCCTCCCGCGCTTCTGACTGTACCCAGTGCTTGTATAAATAAATAAATAAATAAATCTTTAAAAAAAAAAAAGGCAACTAAGGTTAAGGACTACCCACATGTTTCCCCTTCCTCTCTGTTACCACTACCCCCCCCACACACACACACACTATCTACATGTATCTACCCCATTCGTTCCCCCTTCTCATTCTGGAAGTCTGATTCATGGCATTCTGAGAATTGTAGTCCAAGTTGTTTGAGATATTGGCAGTGTGGAAATAGGGGTGGGAAAGATGGTGCCTATTCCTACAACCATTGCAACACTCCTCCCCCTTTCATAGTGACACGTTCTGTAACAATATCTACTCTTACTAAAGACATACTTTCTACTTTCCTGTATACAAAAATGCTTCCCTTTATTATTCCTAGTAGTTTAAATTGTATATGTTAATTGGGATTCATAACCTTAAAACTTTAATTTCTAGTGAAAACTAAGAAGTAAACAATTGTGGACTCTCTCTTATGCTAGCGTTATGTGGATTGGCAGACTTATAAATACATTTTGTAATTTCTAGAGGCATATTTTTCCTAATAGTAAATTTTCCAATGATGCAGTAAATATGTTTGCTAGTAAACTCGAGTATCTTTAGTTTTTTCCATAGCAAGTCAAAAGTAGGTAAATATATATTCAGTAACTGTTTCACTGGGAGGGAGAGGGAGAGGGATCAGAGGGAGGGAGGGAGGAGCACAGGGGACTGAGGTGATGGTGCAGGGGTGACTTGGTGGAGGAAACTCTATGGGGACTACACCTGAGGGGGTGGGGGGAAGCAAATATTGTTTAAAAATGAACAATGATGTAAAAAATCTATAAATAAAAATAAATAAATAAAAATAATAAAAAAAAACCTTTAAGGTTTTAAGTACAAAAAAGATTTTATTTTTAAATACACAAACTATAAACACCATTGTTAGAAAATCTGCTTATAAACTTTTCTGTTCCTACATCTATTTTATTTATATTTTCTTAACAATTATGTTTAGATTACCCATAAAAACTTCCCTGGACACTAGACAAAGTCAGCTATTAGCTCAACCTATTTTTCTAGCTGACAAATCTTGTAAGAGATAACATGACCTTATTTGACTAGTAAACCCAAGTAGAATTTAAAAAAAAAGTATTGCATGTAATGCTAGTAACTTTAAATCATGTCTATTTTAATTAAACAGACAAACTTAAATTAGTTTTTTTTTAAAGATTTATTTATTTATTTATAAAAGCACTGGGTATGGTCAGAAGCGCAGGAGGGTGAGAGAATTCACCAGAGCCAGAGTGGGGAACAGAACAGGCAGACCGACGAAGTACACTGCTGAGGGGAGCAGAGGACCCGACAGGAGAGGTCTGCGCGCCGTGTGAGACCCTCGCCCGGTGGCCGGGGATTGAACCGGCGCTGCAGAGGCTGCGGGAAGCCTTGCAACCCAGTACTCAACCACTGCACCACCGGGGAGACCCCAAATTAGTCTATCTGGATTTTCAATTATCCTCTTTTTTTTTTTTTTTTTTTTTTTGTGGGACCCTGGCTGGCGGCGGGGGAATGAACCGGCGCTGCAGATGCTGCGGGCAGCCTTGCAGCCCAGCGCTCAATCGCTGCGCCACCAGAGGAGGCCCTTAAATTAGTTTTTATTTGCTAAAGATTTATCACAGATGCAGTTTGCTACAAAAGCATTCAGGGGGCTTTCTATATATTGGAGGGTTTTAAGAATTCTTAATTCATATTAACTTTTTAATTTTAAGTCAATTAAGTGGAATTCCTCACAAACTAGTTTTGGCAATGCTAGCCACAAGTAGAAAATTGTCATGTATCTGTAAGATACACACATACAGATATAGGCATAAACATACATAGAGAACTTATGACTTTTGCTTTAAAGTGTAGCCATCAGATGGGCATGATAATATAAAATTTATAACTTATAAAATAAGTTGTAAGTTTTTTAATTTATAAGTTTATTTGATAAGTTATAACTTATAAAATAACTTTAAATAAATTAAGTTTACCTGTTCAGATGCTAAAACTTTTTATCAATATTTGTGGGGAAGATTCTTAAGACTTTGTGCTTGTCCTTGACAAACAATCTTTTGGAGTTGTAAGTTAGATTTTGGGCAAGAGAGATTCTATAGTCATCTGTAATTTTAAAAAGCTTCTTCTGCATTTTTCCCTTCTGCTAAGGATATCTGAAGCTTGCACTTACATTTACAGGGAAACATATACAGTTCCTCTATGCAAAAATAAATAAAATCTTAAAGCAAAGAAAGAAAAAGGAATTAATGGCATCCAAATCAGAAAGGAAAAAGTGCAATTATTTCTGCAGATGCTATGATCTTGTGTATAGGAAACCCTAGACTCAACAACAACAAAAAAACAGAAACAATTCTACTATTTTCTTCTTTCTGCAGATTTCTTTTGGTAAAGAAGAAAACCAGTGCTAATTTAGAAAGAGTGAAGAGATGAATCAAATGAGAATTTTTTCTGTAAAACTGAATGATGGACACCTCATGCCTACATTGGGGTTTGGCACCTCTGCACCTAATAAGGTAATCACGTGGGTTGGCGATGGAGGAAGAGCAAACAGGGCTCCAGATCAGAACCATCACTGTAGGAATTTGAGGAATTCAGATTGACCTCAATTTTCTCTTTTGTAAGATGCTTCTCTCCATTTTAGGTTACTTTATTATTAAATCAATGCATTTCAAATTTTTTTTATATATATATTTTAAAGATTTTATTTATTTATTTATACAAGTACTGGGTATAGTCAGAAGTGCGGGAGGGTGAGAGAATTCACCAGAGCCAGAGCCGGGAACAGAACAGGCAGACTGACGAAGCACACTGCTGAGGGGAGCAGCTGGCGTGGCAGGAGAGGTCTGGGCTCTATGTGGGACCCTCGCCAGCCGCCCGGGATGAAACCGGTGCTGCAGAAGCTGCGGGCAACTTCGCAGCCCAGGGCTCAACCGCTGCGCCACCAGGGAGGCCCACATTTCAAATTTTAATGGCTATAAAAACACCTGATGATCCTCCTAAAAATGCTGATGTGGGAGCGCCAACTACAAAGGCTCTGATAGATTAGATCAGGAATAGGGTTCAAAAGTCCACATTTCTAACAAGTTAGTAAATGATTCTGTTGCTGCTTGTCCAAGAATCACTTCTGGAATGACACTATGTGAAGGAAATGAAGGTGTGTGTCACCTTTCATTAATTCAGGGGTGGGTAAGTCAGTTTCTGTTATTCTCACCTGCTGTCCAGTTGCCGCTTTTCCACAGTATGTTTGAATAAATGAAACCTAGTAGTCACCGTTAACATGTCAGAGACTTTACAGCAAGCTTGCTTGTGATAAAGTTTCCTTGTAATTTCTAATACCCAAGTTCTCCCTGTCCACCATTAAACAAAGACTATCCAGAGAAATCTCTGTGGCAAGAGGACCCAGAGAAAGAATCAAGATTGATACTGAAGACAGTTTCTGTGTTCTGGGTGGACACAGTTTTTTACAGATCAAGTTGCACTGATTGGGCCAGGGGAAAGCCAAGTGACAACTTGGATATCCTTTCTCTGTTTGGAAGACTTAGTTCCATGTGGGCTTCTGGATCAAACACTGCAAACTTACAAGAGCACATCTTAAATGGTTCTTGGAAGAAGTTTATAATGGTTAAAGAAAGTTTTAGGATTGATTCTCCTGCATAATTGCTACCTGGTATATAATGTTGAGGACTGCATTTCAATGACTGAGTGAGGTAGTGAGGAGTAGCAGAGAGAAAAAAAATCTGGACAACTTCAGGAGTCTATTCTGGTGGACCAGTGGAACAGTAAGCAGCTGAGAAAAATTAAATTGTGAAGGAGAAAGTGTCACCTGAGCACCTACATAGAACCAAAAAATGAATCATGAGGTATTTTTGAGTGAAAAGAACTTATTTTCTTTTACATTTTTGTTCTTCCTCAGATGTTTAAAATGCCTCTCTAGGTTAAATGTCTCTCCAGGTTACACAGGTAAATTACTAATTTGTTCTATCTAACATTATGTTTTCATTGTATTGATGGATAATTTCGGAATGTGTAAATAATACATTATGTAAATATATACATTGTGTAAATATATAGATGGTGTAAATCCAGACACAGAGCTCACACCAGTGATATGCTGGGGCCAGTAAATGAATAGACTGTGAGCAGCTTTTCTGGTAGCTTGAAATTAGCCCTGGTGGGAATATTTACACCAAAGAAATTGGCAAATACAACAAATCAGGGCTTCTTTTCTTCAGAGAGTCAGTTATAAAAAATTTTCCAGGGGCCATAAGTCAACATAGCTTTGTGATCTCCAGGTCTTATCCTTCAGAAAAACAATAGGTTCTGATGAGTAGCTCTGCTTATGGGACTGGTTATCTATTTCTGAATTAAGTAGGTCTTCATCTTTTCATGCTCTTGTAGGTTTCTAAGAGTCTGGCAGAGGAGGCCATCAAGATGGCAATTGATATCGGCTATCGCCATATTGACTCAGCTCATCTGTACATGAATGAAGAAGAGGTTGGGAGGGCCATCCAAAAGAAGATTGAGAGTGGTACTGTGAAGAGAGAGGACATATTCTGCACCTCAAAGGTGGCGTGTATAGTGGCATATGTATCTATGAGAAACCCAGTCTGAGCTGAAGAGTTTCTTGTCAAATTCTCTTCTTACCAATTTTCATTCAGTTTCAGATGGTGCACTATGGGAAGATGAGATAGGAAAATGCTGGCTAGAAATATGGTTCTGTAATCAGATTTCCTATACTTATATCCAGGTTCTGCCATTTGCAAAATGTGTATGATCTTGGGCAGACTACTTAAACTTGGTCCCTTAGTTTTCCAAACTGAAGATCTCATGGAATAAAATGAAGATCTCATGGAATTTTTATGATTATTACATGTGTAGTTTTTATGAAAGGATTTAATGTATTTTATTTTATTTTATTTTTTTTTTTAATAGAGGCATGTTTTATTTATTTATTTATTCATTTGTTTGTTTTTGTTTATACATGCACTGGGTACAGTCAGAAGCGCGGGAGGGTGAGAGAATTCACCAGAGCCAGAGCGGGGAGCAGAGCAGGCAGAAGGACTGAAGTACACTGCTGAGGGGAGCAGCGGGCGGCAGGAGAGGTCTGCGCGCCATGTGGGACCCTCCTCCGGTGGCTGGGGAGCAGCCGGGGATCGAACCGGCGCTGCAGAGGCTGCTGGCAGCTTCGCAACCCAGCGCTCAACCGCTGTGCCACCGGGGAGGCCCGATTTAATGTATTTTAAATGCCATGAAAATCTAGCTGGTATTATTATCATATTTTATTTTATTTTATTTTTTAAGATTTATTTATTTATTTATACAAGCACTGGGTACAGTCAGAAGCGCGGGAGGGTGAGAGGATTCACCAGAGCCAGAGCGGGGAGCAGAACAGGCAGACTGACAAAATACACTGCTGAGGGGAGCAGCAGGCATGGCAGGAGAGGTCTGCATGACATGTGGGTCCCTTGCCGGTGGCCGGGGATGGAATCAGCACAGCAGAGGCTGAGGGCAGCTTCGCAGCCCAGCACTCAACTGCTGCGCCACCTGGGGAGGCCCTATTATCATATTTTATAAACTCTCAGGCATGGTTTGCGATTTCCTATAATGCAAAGTGACTTAATATTTCCTTTTCATCATTTTGTACTACGGTAACGTTGTTTACAACACTGTATATGTTTAGGTTCACAGAATTTCAGATGTATGTTACCACATCATATCCACCACCAAAACACTAATAGTTCCCCCCCCATAGTCCATTGAGCCCCCTCCCCACTTTAATAAAGTAACTTCATATTTCTTAGTTATAGTATGAAGAAATGCAATATAATCAGAAAGTGTAGGTTTTGGAAGTTGTGATAAAATTTTAGTACTTTAAATTTTTTTTATATTTGACTCTGAACTTTCTTTTTATTTTAAAGATTTATTTATTTTTGCATACAAGAACTGGGGTACAGGCCAGAAGTGTGGAGGGTGAGAGAATTCACCAGAAACAGAGTGGGGAACAGAACAGGCAGAATGACTGAAATACACTGCTGAGGGAAGCAGCAGGTGAGTCAGGAGAAGTCGGCTGCGCCATGTTTGTGACTCCCTAGCTGCGGATCTCACTAGTGCTGCAGAGGCTGCAGATAGCTTCATGGTTGAATCTTCACCCCTTGTGCCACCAGGGAGGCCCCTGAAATTTCTTAACTAAAACAGTTTTTTAATATATGTGAACATTGGTCTTCATATCTTAATCTATTACATGGTGTATTTCCTATGAAATGGAAAAAAATAATACTATGAAATTGATGAGGATGAAAGTAATCTTAATAAAAGTACTTATGTACGGGCCTCCCCTGGTGGCGCAGACATTGAGTGCAGCGCTGTGAAGCTGTCCTCAGCCTCTGCAGCACCAGTTCGATTCCGGCTGGCCGGCGAGGGTCCCACATGGCTCAGCAGACCTCTCCTGTCTCACTCGCTGCTCCGCTCAGCAGTGTGTTTCAGTCAGTCTGCCTGTTCTGTTCCCCGCTCTGTCTCTGGTGAATCCTCTCACCCTCCCTCAAGTCTGGCCTGTACCCAGGTTCTTGTATTTATAAATAAATAAATAAAGCTTTTTTTTATAAAAAGTACTTAGGTACATTTTTATATCAAGAACTACTTTCTCTTAATATTCTCCATGCAAACTGACACTTTTCTGACACAAAGAAAACACATATTTTAAGTCAGAATGGAATAGGAACCCAAGAGGATTTCTTCCATTTTGTTCATTGAACTATCTACTGCTAGAAGAAGAAATTAAATTTGAGGTGAGGTAACCCAAGAAGAGAGAGTGGAGGTCCACGAAGTGACTACCATGCAAGCTGGTCTATCAGTGGATATTTCCTCCTTCTAGCCCCGTTTGTGTCTTCATATGACATGTAGATGGTGGTATAGTGATAGCACCAGCTAGCATCAGCCTTCTCGCTCTCATTTATTAATCTCCTTTTTTGCAATATCCTTTGTCTCACCTTTAGTGATTCTGATTAATTTTCTTTATATTATTACTTCTTAAAATGATGTAACAAAAGTATCCCCTATAAATTCCCAATGGGCCTTACTTTCTTTGGTCCTAACTATTTAATACAGTTAAGACAGAATTTCCTGAATCACAATCCCATGAGATGCTTGTTTAAAAATACAATTTCCCAGCCAGCCTACCTCAAACTGTAATTTATCTGTTTAAGGTAGAGTCCAGAAAAGTTTTTTGCACAAACAAATCTAATAATTATTTTACAGCCTAAAGTTGAGAACCTTGCATAGGACCACAGTTTCATTTTCTACATAATTGTCTTAATTCAGCCTGAAAGTAAGCTATGATGATTACGAGCTTCAGGGGTGGCTTGTCACTTCCCATAACTATAAGTGGGTTTTTGGTTGTTCTTTGTTATTTTATTATTTGCTCCTAAAGATTCTTTTTTTTTTTTAAAAGATCTATTTATTTATGCATACAAGAGGTGGGGTATAGGCCAGAGGTATGGGAGTGAGAGGCTTCACCAGAGTCAGAGTGGGGAACAGAACAGGCAGATCTACTGAAATACACTGCTGAGGGGAACAGCGGGCGAGTCAGGAGAGGTCTGCTGTGCCATGTGGGTAGCTCCCTGGCCTGTGGGGATTAAACTCGGGCTGCAGAGGCTGCCGATTGCTTCATAATGCTATGCTTAACCACTTGCACCACCAGTGAGGCCCTGTTCCTAAAGATTCTTAAAGATATAACCCCACACTACTCTTCCTACCACTCTAGCTGTGGAGTACATATCTACGTCCAGAATTGGTGCAAACTGGCCTGGAAATGACACTGAAGAAACTTCAGCTGAATTATGTGGATCTTTATCTTATTCATTTCCCGGGAGGTCTGAAGGTTAGCAAACATTTTACTTTGGTTATCGACATAAAAATAAACAGCTGAGTACAAGAGAGGCTAGTTTGTAAAAATGAAAAGAAACAAATACAATATTTTAAGATTTCCCCTTTTTGGCTTTAACAGTTTCCATCTCAGTTCACTATTCCATGCCCACAGTGACAAGGATTCAGATTTCAAAGTCACTGCCTCTGTCTTGTGGGCATATTCCTTTTATTTTCAAGAGTCTCAACCCCATGCCTACTGGTGTCTGGGGAATATCCTGATGTGGAGACCAGTTGAGGCACCAGAAATGCAAAGAGGATAAACCTCAGCAAGCGGGATTAACTTGCAAGGGTGGGCAAACTCATCCCACAATATTCCATGGCTCCCCGCCCCCCCCAGGCCCCCTGCAGGCTCCCTCTAGTATTGGGTCCTGAGTGTCTCAAGTTAGTCTTGACACAAACACTTTTATTAAAAATATAGCAGTTAAAAGCATTTCTGAAAGTGTTCTTCCTCAACATACCTCCTTTCCTTTTAGCCTAACCTTACAATTCCTTTCAAGAATAAGGATGGATTGTTCCATTAGCCTCAAGGGCCACACCACAGGCTACAAACAGCTGGACTGAAATCATATGTAGTTTTATACACACTCCCCTTTTTTTCCTGTGTCTCAGCCTGGGAAGGAGCTTATGCCAATGGACACACAAGGGAATGTTATTTTTGATAGAGTGGATATCTGTGCCACATGGGAGGTGAGTACAACTTCAAAGGCACCATGGCTCTGTAACTTGCGGGGAGGGGATGGGTAAGTATTCAGGATCTAGTTCAATTCTTCCCCTGGGTAGACTTGTGCAAGAGCCTGAATGTCCTTTTGCCTTGGTTTTTACATTTCATTCTTTTTATTGTTCAATAAATATTTACTGAGTGCCTCTGATGCACTCAGTAGTCTCTACCTATCAGGGAACAAAACCAAGGACTCTAACCCCAATGAGTGGTAGGTGCTGTGAAGGGGATAGGTGGTATGGGAACAGAAGACTGAGTAGGGGAACTGATAATGCCACGGTGTGTATGGGGTGCCAATAGGCAATTAAAAGCAAAGTGGGTAGGGTAGACCTTTTTGAGAGGATAGGAGATGAAGAAATTGATTATGTGGCTATCTGAAGGAAGAGTGATACAGGAAGAAAATAGATCAAGTCAAAATTTTTAAGGTGGGAGAGAATTGACAATGTTCAAGAAACAGCAAGGGGGTATGTATGACTGAAACAGAGGGAGTTTGTTGGACACTGATAGGAAATGAGTTTAAAGAGAAAACAAGCTGCGACTATCTGGCAGAAGGATATGGCCACCTTCCTGTTCCCCAGGCTGCACCTGGCTCTATTTTTTTTTTAAAGATTTATTTTTTATTTATGCATACAAGAACTGGGGTGCAGGCCAGAGGTGTAGGGAGTGAGAAGATTCACCAGAAACAGAGTGGGGAGCAGAACAGGCAGACTGACTGAAATATACTGCTGCGGGGAGAGCGGGTGAGACAGGAGAGGTCTGCTGTGCCATGTGGGTAGCTCCCTGGCTGGGGATGGAACTCATGCTGCAGAGGTTGTGGATAGCTTCACAGTGCGGTGTTTAACCCCTTGCTCCACCAGGGAGGCCCCGGGCTCTATTTTTAAGTACATTTGGTTGTAGTGGTGATAGTTCTGCCATTGCTTAGCCAAATTTCCCCAGATATTTGGCTAAAGATCATGCGGACTCCTTTATTTTTGTAGCCACTTGCATTCTTTCCTTACTCTATCATCTTACCATTTTTTCCTATTGTTTTTCATTCTCCTCCATCCCAGTGAGTTCCTGTCTTATCTATTGATATCTGTACCATTTGAGGTTTTCTTTCTCCTGCCCTATTTCATATTTTCTCCTATCCCCAGGCCCACCCTCCTTGTGGCGCCATTGTTACACTTCTCCTCACCACCGCTTCCTCCCCAGATCTTGGAAAAGTGTAAGGACGCAGGACTGGTCAAGTCTATTGGTGTGTCTAACTTTAACCGCAGGCAGATAGAGAAGATCCTGAACAAACCAGGACTCAAGTACAAACCTGTCTGCAACCAGGTAAGCCCCACTAACCCCCTTCTGAATTTCTTTTTCCTTCTCCCCTTTAATTTACTCCTTCCTTGTTTCAACAAGCTCACTGAAAGTGTTCTTTTCTTATATATTTTCTATATATTTGCACCTTTGGATATCAACTTCTTCAAGAGGACAGAATGCATTTTAAGTTGTTGGAGATGATTCTCAAGGCCAAAAAAGAAAAGATCAGTGGTTACCATGGGAGGAGAATGAAGAATGAATATATAAAGTACAAGGGATTTTTTTTAGAGCATTGAAACTATTCTGTATGGTGTAGTAATGGATACCTGTCAATACACATTTGTCAAAACCCATAGAATATATAATAGTGAACCCTATAGTAATGTACCAATATTGGTTCATCAATTGTAACAAATACGTCATATTCATATAGGATGTAAATAATAGGGGAGACTGGAGTTGGGGAGTGAGGGAGAGAGTCTGCAGGAACTATGTGGTTTCTGCTTGCTTTTCTTCTGTAATCCTGAAACTGTTCTGCAAAAATAAATTTGATTAATTTATCTTTAAGTACAATCGCTTCTAATGCCCAGATGGCCTAGGCTGAGAGGGCCTCTAGATCACCAAGGCTATAGCAGTGGTCTTATTTCCCATATCATCCAGACAGGAGAGCAGAAAAGAAGTAGTTAAAATTCACTGCAAAGGTTCTAGACTTCTTATTCTTCAGGTTCATAGAAAAACTAGAAAGTAAGATTATAGCGCCACATACTACCTTCTTTAGCACAGATACCTCTCATGAGTTATGTGTGAATATCACAACACAAATAAATGTTCCTGACTAATAACAATTAGCAATTTATTTCCACCTGATGATAAAGGGATGGAAGCATTTCCAAGTCTCTTGCACATAGGACAAGACTGAGGCTCAGGGGTGGGTATAGGCACAGTGGATTACAGCAGGCTCTGTTTTTGGGAGAGCTTAAGGGTCAAGCAAAGGCATACAATGTGGTAGGTAAAAAGAAAGCATTCTAGTTTCTGGAACCAAAGAATGGTCTAATGAAAAAGTTCCTGAAATTTCAAGGACAACTTATTAATTTCTAAACATAAAGTCTTCAAACAGAAGAAGAATTAGAGTAGTGAATGAAGAAAGGCAAAAACTGAGGCTTACTATGTACAAGAAATTCATGAGCAACACCCAAGGATGTCACCATAGTTTCCAGTCGGAAAGACTAAGACTATCTGTTGACCTTGTAATATGAACTTGACATCCACAAACACTGAGCTAAATAATTTTGCTATAATGTCTCTGGGAAATAATCTAAATTTATGTTTCTAGGAGCTCTGTTGGCTGATGGTCATGGGTTGGCATGTGTGGCTGGCACTCTTAAATAATTGATACCATGCAATACAGCACGGTATATTCCTCATGAATGTGGTGTTGGTGGTCCGCTAACCCAATACTTCTACAGGTGGAGTGCCATCCTTACCTGAACCAGAGCAAGCTTCTGGAGTTCTGCAAATCCAAGGACATTGTCTTGACTGCATTTGCTGCCTTGGGGTCTGACGCAGAGAAGGACTGGTAATATTATCTATAAATTATTCTAGTTATAGATCTGTACCTTCTGAAGTCATTTCCCCATTGTCTAGAAGAATTAAGGAGAGGCAGGATTAATCTTTGTAAACTCTTTACCTAGCCCAGACTTGTAAGGACTGTAAGGATTCAATATAACATTACTGAATAATAAAATTACTGCTTAAAATGTACATATATCAATAATTCAAATGTTTTGGCTTTAAAAAATGCCAACGGAGCCCAAAGCCATGATTTGGACTCTTAATGGCTGAGTGATATGAAAAAAATTAACAACATATGTTAGTTTTAGTTTCTTTAATTTCTCAAGAAAAATAAAAATGGGACAAATTGAGAGAATTAATTGAAAGCATTTTTTGAAATAGCAAACTGACCTATATGATATAAATGATATAAATGATATGATATAAATATTTATAATTAGTTTGTATAGGTTATTTATAGTTATGCATTCTTAGTTTGGACAACAATTTTTTCTTCTTGATTTATTCAATCATTTACTAAGTTTCTCAGACATGTTTAAAAATGAAAAAGCCTGTGTTTCCCTTCCTGCCTTAATTGCTCTTGTTCTTTATTTCCTTTGGATTTGCTAAAAGAAGCGAAACAGATAGTAAGACAGTCAGAGGGTAATAAGGAAGATTCTAGAGGACTAATCTCCCCTAGCCTGATTGAACAGCCCTGAGGTAAAATGGATAGAGGCATACACAGCACCTCTGGCTTTCCTCCAAGGGTGACCAAGAATAAGCCACCCCTCCTGGAGGATCCAGTGATCAAAGCCATTGCTGAAAAGCACATGAGAAGTCCAGCTCAGGTTGCCCTGCGCTACCAGCTGCAGCGGGGGGTGGTGGTCCTGGCCAAGAGCTTCAATGAGAAGAGAATGAAAGAGAACTTCCAGGTACTGGGCAGGGCTGTGGGCAGCATTTCCCCCAGGTATGTGGTTATTTGTGAGGCTCTCAAGGTATATTTAAGCTAAACTCATCTCCCTCTATACCCTATGCATATTTAACTGTATCCCCCTGACTGCTACAAGGCTGAAGAACACAGTGATTGGAAAGAGCACTAAACACAGGATCAGGTTTTGATCTGAATCTTGGTTTTTTCCTGACAGTATGACCTGGGGAAATCACCACTTGATTTCTTTAGCTGCAAAATGAAGGAGCTAGATCAGATGAGATTTGGGCTCAAAAGTCTCTAGAATTCCGTTACTACAACCACAGTCATCCAGTAGAAGTCCCTGAGGGCAATCTGAATTGCTAGTTATCTGAACTGGTAAATGCTCATGACTTTTGTCAGGGAATGAGCCCCAGGTTCAAGACAACTGCCTCATAAAGACCTACCTAAATTGCTACATAATATTGTATAGCTGTGTCTCTCTGTGTTGAGAGGATAGTATTTTTTTCAGGAAAACTGAACTGATTGTCTCAAATTTCTGATAGGTGTTTGATTTCCAGTTGACACCAGAGGATATGAAGAAATTAGATGGCCTAAATAGAAACATTCGTTATTTGGAAGATCTTGTGTGAGTAGCTTGTTCCACTGTACATCCTGGGGAGCAGGAGGGTGAAGGAGTTCAGTTTACCCCAGTCCACTCTTGTGTCTTCTCAGGAAAGTTGTTGAAAAAATGTTTTTTTAAAGGAAATAAATTAAAACAGAATTAAATGAAATAGAAATTTTAAAAACAGCCTAAAAGATCAATGAAACCAAAAGGTGTTTTTTGAAAAAATAGACAAATCTGTAGCGAGGCTCACAAAGAAAAAGACAGAGAATAGTCAAAGAAATAGGATCATATTTGAAAGAGGAGAAAAATTACAACAGATACAGCAGAAATCCAGAGGACAATTAGAGATTACTATGATCATTTATATGCAAACAAGTTCAGCAATCTAGATGAGATGAACAAATTCTTAGAATGCTACAATTCCCCAAGGCTGAATAAAGAAGAAATAGAAAATTTGAACAAACCAATCACAAGCAAGGAAATCGAAATAGTAATCAAAACTCTTCCAAAAAACAAAAGCTCAGGACCAGATGGTTTCACAAGCAAATTCTACCAAATCTTCAAAGATGAACTAAAACCTATCCTACTTTCAAAAAATTGAGAAAGAAGGAATACATTTTACAAGGCCAACATCACACAAATACCAAAACCAAACAAAGACACATACAAAAATAAAACTACAGGCCAATCTCCCTAAAGAACACAGATGCTAAAATTTACCTCAACAAAATCTTAGAAAACCTAATCCAACAACGCATCAAAAGGATTATACGTCATGACTAAGTGGGATTTATTCCAGGGATGCAAGAATGGTTCAACACCTGAAAATCAATTGATATTATTCACCACATCAACAAAAAGAAAAATGAAAATCATATGATCAAAAATGAAAATCATGTGATCAATAGATGCTGAGAAAGCATTCTAAGCTTCATCCACGTAGGTTAAAAAGTGGGTATGATTAGACACTGCTGTTCATGGTATTTGGCAGCCTTGCATCTTGCTCAAAGGCCAAATTCCTGGACCTCCCTGGTGGCGCAAAGGGTTAAGACTCAACCTATGAAGTTGTCTGCAGCCTCTGCAGCACGAGTTCAATCCCCGGCTGGTGCCAGGGAGCTACCCACATGGCACATCAGACCTCTCCTGACTTGCCCACTGCTGCCTTCAGCAGTGTACTTCAGTCAGTCTGCCTGTTCTGCTCCCCACTCTGTCTCTGGTGAATCCTCTCACCCCTGGCCCCCTCACCTCTGGCCTGTACCCCACCTCTTGTATGCATAAATAAATTTTTTTTTTTTTTAAAAAAGGCCAAATTCCTTACAAAACCTACAAGGCTAGCAAGATACTCCCTCCCTCATATCCCAGCCTCCACATCTTACTACTCTATCCTTTCCAGTCCAATGCAGAACAAATGGTCTCCTTACCATTTGTCACATATGCCACACCTGTCTCAGGGCCTTTACACTGGATGGTCTTTTAGCTTAGAATGCTCTTCCTCCAGATAGCTGAGTGTTCACCCCTTTACCTCCTTCAAGACTTAACTTGAGGGGGTCTCCCCTGGTGGGGCAGATGGTTGAGTGCCACGCTGCGAAGCTGTCTGCAGCCTCTGCAGTGCCAGTTCCATCCCAGCCGGCCGGAGAGGGTCTGGCCTGTACCCCGGTTCTTGTATGGATAAACAAATAAATCTTAAAAAAAAAAAAGACTTAACTTGAATGTCACCATTGAAATACCTTATTCTGTCACTATATCTAAAAATGCCACCTGCTCATCACTTCCTCTTCTCTTATCTGCTTAATTTTCCTCTTGACCCATATCCCTAATTAATATACCTCATAACTTATTAATTAATTAATTTACTTTCTTTTCTGATTACCATAGAATGTTAGATTCCAAGGGAAGGATTTTTTTTTTTAAAGATATATTTATTTATACAAGCACTGGGTACAGTCAGAAGCGTGGGAGGGTGAGAGGATTCACCAGAGCCAGAGTGGGGAGCAGAGCAGGCAGAAGGACCAAAGTACACTGCTGAGGGGAGCAGTGGGCGGCAGGAGAGGTCTGCGTGCCATGTGGGACCCTCGCGGGCAGCCAGGGATCGAACCGGGGCTGCAGTGGCTGCAGTGGCTGCAGTGGCTGCAGTGGCTGCAGTGGCTGCAGGCAGCTTCGCAACCCAGCGCTCAACCGCTGCACCACCAGGGGAGGCCCTTCAAGGGAAGGATTTTTTAAAAACTACTCTCCTCCTGAGTAATCAACAAGAAATGTTTGAATGAGTAATATAATAAATGTAGAGCAAGAAGTAAGGGAGAAGCAGTAAGTAGAGAAGCAGGCAGTAATCATTATCAATATCAGTAAGTGATATCAGCTAATATCACCTATAATTATGCAAAAATTTTTCTATCTCAAAATTATTGCTATATATAATACATATAAATAGATATCTAACTATATCATATATACTTTCTAAAATGGAAGCTCTCTGTTTAGGTGACTTTATATTATTATCAATATATCCATCGCTAAGACTAATGTCTAATTTTTTACCTAGTAAAATGAAATGTCTGTTAACTTTATATATTAAACCAGATTGGCATTGTTTTCATTTCTGCCCTCCTGGGGGTTTAAAGTATCAACACAAATTGTTTATCTCCTTAAGTTATAGAATAATATGCTTGCACATATTGAATGTATTAGTTTATTTTTGTGTATGTGTCCATATGCATGTACATATATTATTTCTTTCAATGCACTCATTTCAGTGTAATGCAACAATAGTATATTATTATTCCAAAACCAGTTGGATTTGTAGCTCTCCAAAAGGAAAATCACATTAATTTTCATATTTAAGCCAATTTAAAAGAAACGTCTATTTTCTCAGTTCAAAAACGCAAAGACTCTGCTTTTATATTTTAGACTTGCTCAGCATCCAGATTATCCATTTAATGATGACTACTAGCAACAGTATCTATGGTTACTCCAGAATTCTTCAATTTTGGTTGCTGAATGGAGAGCATCTCAAGGAACATTCCCTGTTGATTCCATGTCATTTAGCTTCATCAGTCACAATATGGCAGAAGTCACTGGATCAGGGAATAAACACAATCTTTATTCTACAAAGTTAATAAAGATACATCTCCAACAACCTAACTACTGCTGCTTAGGTTTTTTAAATTTATTTTATGTTTTCTTGTGCCACTCAAATTGAAATGCTGGTATTCCTGGAAATGATCCCAAGAGATATGGAGTTCTCAAAAATATTTAATCATTTAGTATAGTTTTAAATTTTCAAAGTCTGGCTTTTCACTAGTCTGCCATTCTTAGGTTTTTTCTCTTCTGTCTATGAATTCATCACATTATAAATTATTAAACCTTTTACATGGATCTAAAATTATTTAATAAAACCAAAAATGATCCAGGTTTTTCATTTAAAAATTACTCATAATATCAAAAACAAGGGAAGTATCAAACTGAATGGAAAAAGATAATAAGCAAAGATAACCTAGAGTAACAGGACCAAGATATCAGAATTATCTGGCAAAGATTGTAAAGCAGGGCCTCCCTTGTGGCACAAGGGTTTAAGATGCAATCTGCGAAGCTCTCCACAGCCACTGCAGCACGAGTTTGATCCCCAGCCAGGGAGTTACCCACATAGTGCAGCAGACTTCTCCTGATTTACCTGCTGCTCCCCTCAGCAGTGTATTTCAGTCAATCTGCCTGTTCTGTTCTGCTGGAGACCAGCCCCAGCTAGAAGTTGTGTCAGGGGTCTCAGAGAGGAGAGGACGGAGTCGGCCAAGTTTTCTCTCGGAGGACTGAGGGCTAGTGGAGTGAGGTAGGAGTGAGGAAGACACAAACACTTTAGTTCGTGCAAGTATCTCCTGCTGAGGGTCTCAGCGGGTCTTTATTTATACCTTAAGGCGAGCAGTGGGATTACATCAGCATAAGCATTGAAGCAGAGCAAAGACAATACATATTTTCTCATGATCATGTAAAGACTCCCTTGGCCTTACACCTGTAGGCCATTTTTTGGTAATCTAAGAACAATTAGTTTCCTAGGTACAGCTCATTTACTAGCATGAACAACAGTATAACATTTGGCAACATTTAAACTTTCCCAATTACAAACATGGGTGTAAAGTTCCTATTCTATATTCAATTACTAAAAGCAATCTATTTCCTAGCACTCAATTAACTTGGTTAATATTTTAATTACTTCAAAGTGGTTAAAAAACAATTCATCAGATCTACGTAAGTTCTACTGAAGTCTCACTCTTAACTAGAAATTCCTAACCTCCACACGGCCTGCGAATTATTGACCTCATACACCAGGAAATGCATTGTTGCCACGAACCGGTACCTCCCATGTTAGGCTATGGTTTCCAAGCACAGCTGGTTCGGGGCAGCTTGTTCTCCATAGTTCTCAGGGCCAAAACATTTCTTTCCTAACTATACCTTAAACAATTTTTTTACTTCTTTTGTGATAGTTCATGCGTAAGAACAATAAGTCAATTGTCACCTGGGTCTGAATTAGGTTTTCACAGGCCAATTAATAACTAACTTACTTCAGCATTAACCAAGAACAAAGAGGAGAGAATTAGCAGGCATTGCCATGGAGACTCCCTAGTTCAGATCTTCTTTGGGAAGTGCAAGAACTTCCTTCTTCTGGGAAGTACAACTTTCCCTCTTGGGGGGAGCACAGGAACTCCCCGCTTCTCGGGAGTCTCCCCCATGCCCGGACCTTGTCAAGAGACAGCATGGGAGGCACAGCCTGCCGCACTGTTCCCCACTCTGTCTCTGGTGAATCCTCTCACCCCCCCACAACTCTGGCCTGTACCCCAGTTCTTGTGTGTATAATAAATAAATCTTTTTAAAAAATTTAAAAAGATTGTAAAGCAGCCATCATAAACCTAGGTGCCCATCAATGGATGTGTGCATACAGAAAATGTGATTGATATATATTATCACCTTGAACACATTAAATATAAGCAAATTTAGGGCCTCCCCTGGTGGCGCAGCGGTTGAGCCCTGGGCTGTGAAGCTGCCTGCAGCCTCTGCAGCGCTGGTTCGATCCCCGGCTGCCAGGTGAGGGTCCCACATGGCGCGACAAACCTCTCCTACCGCCCGCTGCTCCCCTCAGCAGTGTACTTCGTCAGTCTGCCTGTTCTGTTCCCGGCTCTGGCTCTGGTGAATTCTCTCACCCTCCCGCGCTTCTGACTGTACCCAGTGCTTGTAAATAAATAACTTTTTTAAAAATAAACAAATAAATAAATATAAGCAAGTTTATTGTCTCTATAAAACTGGAATAGAAATGGGGGAAATGGGGGCAGCAGAGGGTTGGGAGTAGTTATAGAAGGATCCTCCTGGGAGATATCTCTATCTTGCCTATGGAGATGGATTCATGAACACACAGGTGGAAAATATGCATAGAACCGAACACAGAAACTAATTCTGACAAATACATGCTTGACAACGTTCTTACCCCATTGGAACCCCTGACTTTACACAATTTCAGTGAGAGTCCCATTAATACTGATTAACAGAGTAGACCACTTTTATAGATGACAGACTTGAAGTCTTCTCCACTAATACAATCACCAATGACATGATGATTGACTTAAAAGATAAGAAAATGTCAGTAACTATAAGCTGACAATTTGGAAAAAATGAAGTGAAGTGGGAAAATTCCAACCTCCCCCCCAAACCCGTTACTAGCTGACATTCAGAGAGCTGACAAGCTGACCACCGACATGCAAGACACCAAGTGCCTGAGCAAAGCATGGTGACTTTGTGGTTGGTTATTGACTCAGCATTTCTGGGGTAATATACGGCTTAAGGTTAATTTGTGATGCTACACTATTAAAAATAGCTACAAGTGAAAACAAGCCTTTGCATGGATCAGGGAGCAGTGATTATAATTAATTCAGTTCTAGGCATTTGAACTCGAACATTCCTTTTTTTTAAATTTTATTTTTATATTCCCCATACAATTGCAACCCCCTTATTTTTTTTATTTTTATTATTTATTTATTTATTTAAAATTTTATTTTATATTCCCCATACAATTACAACCCCCTGATTTTGACCCCAATCCCTCCTTTCCCCACCACCCCCCCTCCGTAGTGTGTCTCTGATTCATAGTTGTTTGTTGATTTTGATTTTTTCTTTCTTATAGTTATTCTTTTTCCTGGTCCTTTATTTAGGTTTTCTAGATTCCTGCTATGAGTGAGACCATCTGGTATTTTTCTTTTTCTTTCTGGCTTATTTCGCTGAGCATGATCCCTCCCAGCTCCATCCATGTTGCTGCAAATTGCATGTGTTTATCTTTTTTGAATGCTGAGTAATATTCCATGGTATATATGTACCACATCTTCTTGATCCAGTCATCTATTTTTGGGCATTTGGGTTGTTTCCAAAGCTTAGCTATTGTAAACAGTGCTGCTATAAACATAGGGGTGCAGGTGCTCTTTGGAATTGATGTTTCTGTGTCCCCTGGGTAACTACCTAGGAGTGGAATTGCTGGATCATATGGAAGCTCTATGTTTAGTAGGCCAAGAAATCTCCACACAGCTTTCCATAGTGGTTGGACCAGTTTGCACTCCCATCAGCAGTGCAGGAGATGAACTTGAACATTCCTTAACAAGGAGATGTTTTGCTCTTAAACACATTTTTCACAGCTTTTCTTTATCCGTGTACAAGATCATGTGGAGCTCCCATAAGAGCTAAGAGACTTATTACATAAAAGACAGAATTAAAGGCAGGCAAGGGAGTCAAGGCAGTTTAATTCATCCAGTGCAAAATCCACAAATGCATGCCCCTGGCTGAATGCTCAGGGCCACGATGAATATAACCACATCCCTGGCCTTTGGAAGTTAATAAGGAGTAGAAGAAATAACTTGAATAATATTTTGATGAGCAGGGTTTAGCCATTTAAGTTCCTACTTGCGCAATAACTTTCTATGTGACTTTTTAAGCAAAAGTCCTTTTTATCAAAGGCTAAATTTAAAAAAAAAATTTTTCCCAAGCACTTTAGTTAGTGCTGTGTCTCAAATCACGGATAGGAATTAGGAAGTCCAATGCAGAGAAAGGTCCAAAGTGCTTCCACCATCAGGTTTTACACAAGGAAGAAAGAGAAGTTTCAAAGTTTCTTTTTAAAATCTGTGGGCATGGGCCTCCCTGGTGGTGCAAGGGGTTAAGCACCACACCATGAAGCAAGCCACAGCCTCTGCAGCACGAGTTCGATCCCTGGCCGGCCAGGGAGCTACCCACATGGCGCAGCAGACCTCTCCTGTCTCCCCTGCTGTTCCCCTCAGCAGTGTACTTTGGTCAATCTGCCAGTTCTGTTCCCCACTCTGTCTCTGGTGAATCCTCTCACCGCCCCCCACACCTCTGGCCTATACCCCAGCTCTTGTATGAATAAATAAATTAATCTATAAAATAAAATAAAATCTGTGGGCATTGTCAGTGAATTCACGCTGCTGTCCTGATCTAGCTTTCTGCTCTACCTCAAGCTTCAGGACCGTTTCTTCTGAGAAATTATCATGATCTGCCTCGATACACCATACCATTGGATTAACCCCCATTTTTCAGAAAATCTGGTATCTAAAAATTGCCTCTTGCAGGATAGGGCCCCAGGGCTGTACAGGTGAGCTGGCCTGCTGACAGTGCGGGGAGGACCCGCCAGTGTCCTTCAGGGGGCGGCCCAGGCACCCCGCGGCGAGGAAAGCACCGCCCCTACCCTCACCCTCTGGGTGTGCAGACCCGGGACTGGGATGTCTTCATGTTCGGGGGCAAAGTGCTGCTCCCGTAGGCCCGAGAGCCGCCCCCCGCTGCGTGCGCCCCTTTGGCTGGCAGCGCGGGCGGTGAGCACCACGGTTAGCAGGGGGACAGCCGGTGGACACTCCGATAGGCTGGAGGCCGGGGGTGGGAGTGGGGCGCGGGTAGGTGTGGGGCTGAGGGGTGCCCTAGCGCCAGGCGCTGTGACCCAGGCCGCTGGAGGCCCAGCTTGCGGTCTCCTAGCAACACGGCAGCTGCCCACCGGCTAGTGGGCGGGGTTTCCTAGGCTCCCCGGGTATCCCCAGGATTGCTTTGGGACCCTGTGGGCCTGCTCTGGGCTCGTGGCACGAGAGTAAGCCCCTGAACCCCACCCCAGTGGGGAGGAGACTGCAGGATCCCGATAGTGGAAAAAGCCTGATTCCTCCTTTACTAATTGAAATGCTCCGGGCACAGACCTGAGGGTCCTGCAGGTTAGTTGAAGAGCCTGTTGCTCTTGGGTCTGCGTCTATATGACGGCTGCCCCCTAAACCTTGCAAAATGCTTCCTACCCCCTGGGTCCCTGAAAGCAGAGGGCAGTCTGGAGCTGAGGACCTGGGCAGTGCAGAACCTGGCCACGCTGGACTGGAGACCAGAGACCAAACCCTTCTACCTGGAGGAAGTGGGGCAGAGGGCATCTGCTCTGGCGGGGTGAGGGTGCCCCCTGAGTGAACCGGACACCCCAAGACGGTGGGGGAAAACGGGAAGCATGGAGACCCGAGATCACACCCCGCTCTTGGAGCCCCCAGGTCCCGCTTTGTCCTCCAGGTCCTGGGAGCCTCACAGCCTCGATCCCAAAGAGGTTTCGTTTTTCTGGTTCACAGCCTGAAGCTGCAGTGTTGGCACTGGCCACTAGGGGTCGGGCTGCTGCGTGTCCCGTGCGCTCTTATGGAGCCACTGATTCAGTAAAGGGGCACCCTGGAGACACTCCGGATACCCCTGCCTCCCGTGCAACGCAACCTCCAGTTACTGGCATGCATCCCCACAAAGTGTGCTTCTGTAAGGCGGGAAGGGGCTCCGAGATCCTCTCATTTGTTCATTCACCAGCTGTGCTCTGCTCACTTACCCTGAGAAGGTACCCCGTTAGGTTTGGGGGCTGTGCTGGAAACCACAGGACTCCGCCCTCCAGGAGCTCAGTCTGGAGGGGTGGACAAAAGCTAATTCATGTGAAGGAAAAAAAGCAAGTGCTGCAGACAAATAAGATAGGGTGCTGTAGGAAAAATTAGGAACCCCTAGGTGGAGTAAAGGCCTCCACAGTGACATATGTGCTGTCACCAGAAAATCAGGGCGCCAGACCCTACACAAATCTGGAAACAGTGTGCCATTGGGGAGCTCAATGGTGCAGGCACTCAAAGGTAGAAGGGAATTTGGCTGGAGAGTTGCTGAGAAAGGAGCTTGTGTGCCTGGAGATGAGTCTAAGAATGACTTGGCTGTGGTAGGGTAGCCCAGGGGGTCCTGGTTCCCAGATTAGCGCTGCCCTTTGGCCTGCTGCCCTTGGTGACTCTGAATCCCCTTCCCCACAGGAAGAACCTGAAGCACTGCCCCCTGGGGACACTTGAACATGCTCTTGGCAGGGAGCACCTCCACATCTGTCCTGGTTGGAGCTCCAGTAGTTCTCTGTCAACTCTCAAGGGAGGAGGGTGGGGCTTGGAGAGGCAGGGACTGGAATTTGGGGAGAAGGGAAAGTCAATACTCCTAGGCCAGGGGCCAACCTGCCAGTCAGTTTGCTTTGGGAATGAGAGACCCTAAGATCCTAGGGACCTCTGTCCACCCCCCAAGTGGGACATCCCCGTGCAGGTACATGGGCACGTACACACACCAATACACACTCTACACACATACCCCCCCACACAGCCCTACATATACCATATGTACACCTCCATACCCATCTACATACAGAGGGGCTCCCTAATAACACCCCACACACACATCCATCACACACATTCCTACCATACACCCTATCCCCATATGCACCCCTAGGAGGGGGTCTCTAATAACATATGTACCTCCTTCCCACTTCTACTTATCCAACTAGATGTCTAGTATGCAGAGTGCGTTTTTAGAATATATGAAAAACACAGCAGTGTTACCTGCAGAATGCAATAACGAAGTCGCAGACAAAGTTAAAAAGTTTTGTCTTTAACTTGTAAATTGTTAGATTATTTTTATAAATGTAATTTTTACTTTTCAAAAATAGTTCATGCATTGAAGCAATGTGAGAAAAGCGTTTTTAGATTTGCTGAACTGGCTAAAAATGTAGAGATAATATGTATTTTTTATAGAAATAATTTTATGAATAATTTATTGTTAATTTATAGTTGGAGAAAACATTTGCAGATTGTAAATCAAGTGTCATGTAGACTGCTTTACCTGGGCTTGGGAATTATTTTGTTACCTTCACTGAGCTTGGAAAATAAGAGATAGAGATGGGTTTGTTTATTTAGGAGTAAAATTGAGGAAAAATACTTGAAAATTTAATGCCTTCTGACACATACAGTACAAATTATAATCCATGGAAAATTTGGGACTTCATCCTTTGGTTCTCCTTCCCTCTAGTGGTCATTTCTCGAAGTGCAGGCAAAACTGCATGAAGGTAAAAGGCTTCAAACTACTGAGACTCAGGTGGTGAATCAAGCTCCTTATTCAAGAAGTTTGAGGAACCTGAGAAACATTCTCGCCGAGATTACGCATTTTAATTTTTCAACATAATCACCATGTCTTGATTACCCACACCCTTGAGAATTCTGACATAAAATTGAATTCTGGCATCCCTTGACTATATATTTGACTTAGTAAACAATCCAAAACCTCCATAATTTTCTGTACAAATTTTTACATGTATATATTTTACATATATAATCTTATTGTAACTGATTAATAAGGGTTTTGCAAATAAACATTTTCTTATATATTTATTTATTTATGATACAAGAACTGGGGTACAGGCCAGAGGAGCATTGCTGGGGGTGGTGGTGAGAGGATTCACTAGAGTGGGGAGCAGACAGGCAGTCTGACTGAAGTACACTGCTGAGGAGAGCAGCGGGCAAGACAGGAGAGGTCTGCTGTGCCATGTGGTCTAGCTCCCTGCCTGGCCAGGGATCGAACTCAGAGGCTGTGGGTAGCTTCACAGTGCTGTGCTTAACCACTTGAGCCACCAGGGAGGCCTGAGGTTAACATTTTAATTGGTAAATCAGACACCCTCCCTAGTGTGGACAGCCCTCATTTAATTAGTTGGAGGTCTATAAAACAAAAAGGATGATTCTCCCAGAGTAAGAAAGAATTCTTCCTTCCTGGTGGCCACTCAACTGAGACACTGGCCTTTTCCTGCCTTCGCACTAGGCCTTAGATTGAAATTAACATCATCATCTTCCCTGGTAGTCAGTCAGGCCTTCAGATTGCTACCAAATTATACTATTGGCTTGACTACGTCTACAGTTTGTTGTTGATATTTGATGTTGGAACTTCTCAGTCTCCATAATCCTGTGAACCAACTTATTACAAATAAATAAATATGATGTCAATAGATACATATATGTATATTCTGTTTCTCTGGAGAACCCAAACTAACACAGATTTTTGTACTGAGAATAAGGAGTATATATGAAACCCTCATGTGCTGTAAGCTCCCAAGGATGGCAAAATGTAGGTCCGCTGTATATTCAACACTTGCTGTAATTCCCGCTGCAGTGCATGCTTCCCAAATTGAGCATGTGTTTCCTGGAGAAAAGTGTCCAGATAGCAAGGATTTGCCCATGTTCTTACAAAAGACTGTCAGGGAAAGAAAGGGACTAGCCCTTGGCAAAGAGGAAGCATTCTGTCACTTCTCCCTCAATGAGTTACTGTGTATGTAGTAAAGTAGTATGAAATAGATCTTGTGCTGGGTGAAAGAATAGAGATGAAATACACAATCTCTGTCCTCAGTGTTCTCCTTAGGGTGACAATCAAAATTTACAAGGATAAAATTCCTAACAGGGTGACTTGTATTTTCTCTTTAAATGGGCATGGATCTTCAAAATATATGATGACAACTGAAAAGGGTACTTGTTCCATCATCATAGTTGCGGACTTCAATACTCGGCTCAGTAACTGTTAGTGAGTACAGAACATGCTTAAGGATGTAGAAAGACCTGAACAACTCTAGCCACTGTCATTGAAATGTACAAGGCAGCACTGGAACCAAAATCCACCGCACATTCTTTCTCAGGAGCACATGGAACATTCACTAAGAAAGTATATATTCTAGGCTGTAAAATGAGTTTGCATAAATTCAAAATGATTGAGGGCCTCTCTGGTGGCTCAAGGGGTTAAGGCGCAACCTATGAAACTATCCTCAGCCACTGCAGCACGAGTTCGATCTCCGGCCGGGGAGCTGCCCACATGGCGCGGCAGACCTCTCCTGTCTCGCCCGCTGCTCCCCTCAGCAGTGTGTTTGAGTCAGTCTGCCTGCTCTGTTCCCCACTCTGTCTCTGGAGAATCATCTCACCTCCATACCTCTGGCCTATACCCCAGTTCTTTTATGCATAAATAAATATTTAAAGAAAATAAAAATAAATAAATTCAAAAGGATTGAAATCCTGCAACATTTGCATTCCCCCTGGCAGCAAAGCCTCTCTTCTCCTCACGCAGGTGCAGAAACGTGGAAGAGACACAGCTGCATGCAGGGAGCACATGCGGCAAAAGTGCATGGGCCAGGGCCGAGCTAAGCGACCTTAGGGGCAGCAGGGAGGGAGAACCGTGAGCGGTGGCCCAGGAAAGACTCGGCCCCTCAGTGACCCTGGGGGCAGCAGGGCGAATCTGCACGGAACCGGTTCCGGCTAGGGTAACTCGATGCAGAGCAACTCGGTTTTCCAGTCAGAAAAGCAGAGCACCGCCCAGCCGGGCTCGCGGCCAACAGGAGAAGGGCGGTGCTCGGGGATTGCTCCTCCAGCCCCGCCCCCTCGCCCGCCCCGCCCCCGGAGACGACTCGGTAGCCCAGGGCCGCCGGCCAGAGCGTCGCCACGCCGGCGGGCGGAAGTCGAGTCACGGAGAGCCGTAAAACGCGCCGGCCGCCTCCTTCCGGTTCACGACCACAGCGCCGATCGTCTGCCGGCCGTCCTCGGGTAAGGACTCCGCCTGACTCACGCGAATTCCGTTTTTTTTCCGCGTTCCGGGCCCTTTCCCATCGTCGCCCCCTTCACCTTGGATCATGTTCAAGAAATTTGATGAAAAGGAGAATGTGTCCAACTGCATCCAGTTGAAAACTTCAGTCATTAAGGGTATTAAGAACCAATTGATAGAACAGTTTCCGGGTGTTGAGCCATGGCTCAATCAGATCATGCCTAAGAAAGATCCTGTCAAAATAGTGCGATGCCACGAACACGTAGAGATCCTCACGGTAAATGGAGAGTTGCTCTTCTTTAGGCAAAGAGAAGGGCCTTTTTATCCAACCCTAAGGCTGCTGCACAAATACCCTTTCATCCTGCCACACCAGCAGGTTGATAAAGGAGCCATCAAGTTTGTACTCAGTGGGGCGAATATCATGTGTCCAGGCTTAACGTCTCCCGGAGCTAAGCTGTACCCTGCTGCAGTAGAAACGATTGTTGCAATCATGGCAGAAGGAAAACAGCATGCGCTGTGTGTTGGAGTCATGAAGATGTCTGCAGAAGATATTGAAAAAGTCAACAAAGGAATCGGCATTGAGAATATCCATTATTTAAATGATGGACTGTGGCATATGAAGACGTATAAATGAACCTCAGAAGGAGTGCACTTGGCTAAATATGGACATGGTGCAGTGTCTGAGATTGTGTCTGTATGTGGCAGCGTGAAGACAACACCTTTGTGGTTATGCTGAATAAATTCAACAGATGCTTTGAAAAAAGACCAAGTAAAGATTTGGAATGAGTCCACATGTCTGTGTATCTGTGTCATTGTGTGTGTGTGTGTGTGTGTGTGTGTGTGTGTTTAGAGGGGTACTTTAGCTTACATTTGCTGTCTTGTCTGACCCAGCGGTTATCAGGTGGAGCACAGGTAAAATATCAGTTCTTATGTAAAAAAAAATTCTGAAAATAGATTTCATTGTTAATGTAAATTGGTGGACAGACCCTAAGTTGTGAGTGAGTAAAGAGTCGGGAGGGAGAAAATGGATGGGTGGGTTGTTGGTGGGACTGAACAATTCTTATTAATGTGAACATTTAAGAGATGAACAGAAGATGAGAAGTTTGAAAAGTACTGTAAGTGAAAAATCAGGTAAAGTCCAGTTAAAAAGTGTACAGACATTGCTTGTCTGCCCAACAAACGTCCACCCTCTCCTTTGCCGGCAGAGCTCTGTCCACCACTTTACTTGAATTAAGAAAATGCTGATGAGTTTAAGCTCATTGAAGTGATCTAGTTCCTTAAGAGACAGATTAATTTATAAGAGGGCATGGGGCATAAGTAGAATTCCAAGTAGGATCTTCTCTATTTTGGAACCTGTAGGAATGGGGGTCTTTTCTCCCATAGATTTGTATCATTTGTAGGTGGGTATGTGATCTGTTAGGAGGGTGTGCTGAAGGATTTCTGGAAAAACCTTGTCCTCCCTACCTCTTGTGGTCATTGATTGGTAGGGTGATTTTGCTCTTTTTAAACACACACGCATTGATAAAAGTTGAACCATGGGAAGATGAAAATCAATTGTGTCCTTGGTGATTTATAAACTGATGATTAATCAATCATGAAGTATAGCTATGTTATATGAGAAAATAGAGTTTTTGTTGAAGATTTATTTAAGCATACAAAACTGGGGTACAGGCCACAGGTGTGGGGGGTGAGAGGTTCACCAGAGACAGAGTGGGGAACAGAACAGGTGGATCTACTGAAATACATGGGTGAGGGGAGCAGCAGGCGAGACAGGAGAGGTCTGCTGTGCCATGTGGGCCACCTCCCTGGCCAGGGATTGAACTCGTGCTGCGGTGGTTGTGGACAGCTTTAGTGCTGCGTCTTAACCCCTTGCGCCACCAGGGAGGCCCCGAGATTACTTTCACTTGAAATTTTAAACCTAAAGATAAGTCAGTTTTCATAGAGTGGTATAGATACCAACTGAAAAACTGCTTAAGGAAGGATAAAACAGGTCATTTCAAAGTTCATGGGTCACTTTCACCATGAACAGTTTCAGTGTAATTCATATGAATGCAAGATTAGTTGCCATGGATTTATGGGTGCACGGAAAATGAGAGATGGGATGCTGAATTCATCTTATTCCTTACAACTATTTGCTTGTAAATTTAAGAGATACTGCATGAAAGCTAGAGGAAGGTTATTGTCAAGATACCTTGTTTTGGAGTTTATGTTATTTTGCTGTTCAACTGTTTTGTTTTTGCATGCTTGTTAATGGGATATCTAAGTATGTTTATGCTGAGGGGAAAGATTCAACGAGAGAGGGAATACTTGATGGGAATCAGTGGGATAGGAAAGTAAGAAGGCATCCAAGCTGTGAGGTGGACGCACTGGCCTCTGTCCTCAGAAATTGGCACATCTGGGGCCTCCCCTGGTGGCGCAGGCAGTTGAGCGCCACGCTGCGAAGCTGTCTGCAGCCTCTGCAGTGCCGGTTTGATCCTGGCAGGCTGGTGAGGGTCCCACATGGCGTGGCAGACTTCTCCTGTCTCGCCCACTGCTCCCCTCAGCAGTGTATTTTATCAGTCTGCCTGTTCTGTTCCCTGCTCTGTCTCTGGTGGGCCCTCTCACCCTCCTGTGCATCTGGCCTGTACCCTGATACTTGTATAAAATAAATAAAATAAATCTTTAAAAAAAAAAAAGAAATTGGCACATCTGTATTATCCACCACTGAGTTGTCATGTAGCAACCCTTATACATTCCTCATCAGAACACTATTTATTTCCTCAAGGGGTTGGGACTTTTGCCCCTTCCTAATTCTCCACCCTAATCAAAACCATTCATTTTGGCCATTAGTGGACAGCTTTGGAGGACCTCAACTTCTGGAGTACCAGGGACTGACAAACACTGAAAGAGACAGTCAAGGTAAGCATGTCTACTGTTCTCCTACCATGCCTCAAACAGCTTGAAAGAGGACCCACTGGGTCTGCTCTGGCCTCTTCAGGTTTCTTCCTCTATGTACTCACGCTTTTTTTTTTTTTTTAAAGATTTATTTATTTATGCATACAAGAACTGGGGTATAGGCCAGAAGTGTGGGGGGTGAGAGGATTCACCAGAGACAGAGGGAACAGAAGAGGCAGACTGACTGAAACACACTGCTGAGGGGAGCAGCGGGGAGTCAGGAGAGGTCTGCTGCACCATGTGGGTTGCTCCCTGGCTGGGGATCCAACTCCTGTGCAGTGACTGCAGTCAGCTTCATAGGTTATGTCTTAACCCCTTGCGCCACCAGGGAGGCCCCTGCAGTCACATTTTTGCTTTTAAAAAAATTTATGCATAAGGCCTCCCCTGGTGGTACAGTGGTTGAGCACTGGGCTGCGAAGCTGCCCGCAGCCTCTGCAGCGCCGGTTCTATCCCCGGCCACAGGCAAGGGTCCCACATGGTGAGATAGACCTCTCCTGCTAGGCCCACACTCTGCCTGTTCTGTTCTCTGCTCTGGCTCTGGTGAATTCTCTCACCCCCCGCGCTTCTGACTGTACCCAGTGCTTGTATAAATAAATAAATAAATCTTAAAAAAAAAATTATGCATAGAACTGGGATACAGGCCAGAGATGCAAAACAAGAGGATTCACCAGAGACAGAGTGGAGAGCAGAACAGGCAGATGTACTGAAACACACTGCTAAGGGGAGTAGCAGGTGAGACAGGAAAGGTCTGATAGCGCCATGTGGGTCACCTCCCTGGCCAGGGATCGAACTCAGACCAAACTCAGGCCCCAGGGATGATAGTGCTGACACTTAATCCCTAGGCCACCAGGGAGGTCCTGCACTCATACTTTCATCACCCATTTCTTCCTGGTTCACCGGTCATACTGGAAGCTGTTGTAATCTCATTGAACAACTCAAAATGGAAAGGCTGTGTAGACATTGGAAAGGTGATAGAAATAGTTTTATAAACTTCCTGGAATTTTATTTTTTTAAGATTTATGTATTTATGCATACAAGAACTGGGGCACAGGCCAGAGAAGCGGGGGTGGAGTGGGCAGTGAAAGGATTCACCACAGACGAGTGGGAAGCAGGCAGAGCGACTAAAATACACTGCTGAGGGGAGCAGCGGGCCAGACAGGAGAGGTCTGCTGCGCCATGTGGGTTAGCTTCGTGGCCAGGGATAGAACGAGTGCTGCAGTGGCTGCAGATATAGTGCTGTGTCTCAACCCCTTGCGCCACCAAGGAGGCCCCTAAACTTCCTGGAATTTTATACAAAATCAGGCATGAGTATGCATAGACAGATTTGTTAAAGCCTTCTCCACGTGTATTTAAGGTGACCTGTGTGCCAAAAGGACCTTATGAACAATTAAAGTAGAAGACAATCATCTCTACTTACTCTTGCTAATCTAGGTGTTTAATTTGATGGTAAGGATATTGGTTAATAAAATTCTAATAATAAGCACATTTTACCTCAAGCATCTACACCCTCCAGGGCTATTTCATCCAGAATAGCTTGGCAAACTTATTGGTGCTTACAGTGTCTAGCTAAACACTGGTCTAGAAGCAGGGAACAGAAATATAATTACACTGTCACCCCACCTTTTTCTGGGGTTTAGTCCTGTTATGAAAGCAAACACTTTCACTTTCATATATTTGTTTTTATGTATATATCCCTACGTATAATGTGTGTGTTTAATGAATTACCGATTATAGCGTGAATGAGTGAGGGAAACTTTGCCTACAGATTCAAAGAAGATTTCTGAATGAGAGCTTAAGTGGAGATGTCAAAAAAAAAATTACAGATAACTTCACAATGATTGTGGTTAAGAAAAAAAAAAGCAGGGAAGGAAATGCAGTAGATGTACTGAAATACAAGCAGTTTGGCTTTTGTAGGGCATGACTTTTCAAGAAAAGGTGAGAGGAGATGATGAAGACCAATAAGGATTTTGAATATGGCAAGCCAAGTTTTTCAAATTCTGAGGATTAATGATAACATACATGTTGGCATGTATGTGTGTATATATATATATTTACTTCTATGCATTTTTTCATTCTTTAAAAAATCAGAGTTACATTAACTCTGGGACTCTAGTCCTTTCATTTCATCCTCACGTGATAAACTCCAGGAAAACTTTAAAACATTCACAAAGAGCATGATTGCAATTCTTGCATGCTCTTTCAGCAAAGCTAAATTCAGGATATAATTATTTTCTTTAAAAATTTAGTTTGCTCAACATATTTTCAAAAGAGGACATTCCAAGGCTTTGAAAAGCACATCTGTGTAACAGAGAAAACATTTTCTCAGCAGGAAAAGTCTTTCTGACTATGCAAAATATCAAATTTTCAGTCACATGTTTTGGGGTTATCGCTCTCTCCAAAGATTTTTTTTCTTCCGTCAGAATGATTTAGAAATGTGGGGAAGCAAGGCAGGGTAATAGCAGAAGCTTAGTCAAACAACTGTGGAAGCCAAATACTGTATTTTTTTTCTTAGGACAAAATAGTGACTTTTTAAAAAGTAAGATCTGCATTTCCAGTGTGTTGAGGATTTGACCTGAAGATGACCAGGCTTTTCAAAAGCACAACATGAGCAGCATGTGTGTTGGTTTGTAATCTTGAAAGTTCCTTGGGTGAAATTCAAAGCTGGCCCCTTGTACTACGAAGGCAAGAAGTAACAAGAAAGGCAGCTGGGTCTAGATCGGCAGATGGCCATTCAGTCAGTCAGGGAACTTACATGAAGGCTGCCAGGTAGGGAGCTCTCTGTTTCTGCCTGACAGAACCTTCAGCGTCTGTACAGAGTGGGGTTCTGTCATGGACTCAGCCCAGATGGTCTCAGCAAACACATTAC